TAAAATCTCACTGGTTCTTGGTTTGCGAGCTCATTCCGGTGTTAAAAGCTCTCCAAGGTTCAAGATTAACCTGTGCAAAATATTTATTTAAAGCTTGAAGATTAACCACTCCAAGTTTCTTGTTTAAAGGAGACTAACCGCTTCGATCCATTGTTTGGAAGGAAGACTCACCACTTCTCTCTGTGTTTGCTGTTTAGTTGGAAGTTAGCCACAAAATTTATTTTCCTTGTATAAGAGGGTTTGAGAGTTCAACCTACTAAAAGCTCTTAATTTTAATTGGATACTCTCAAAATCAAATATTAGGGATAAAACTAAGTAATTTTTGACTGAACTTGTATAATTTTTAGTGTTCTTATCTCTTCCCTTAAACTCTTTATATTTCTATATTTTACCTTTTGTGATTTTATTTTTCCACTGCTTAACCCTAAAAAATTTCTAAAATGTTTTCAAACTCTAATTTTAATCCTAAATGTTTTTCAAACCGAGGTTTTTCTAAAACACACAATTCACCCCCTCTTGTGTGTGAAGTCACATGTCCTACATTAATATTCAACGTTGGTCAAATGTGCTGATGTATGATTGGGTAGATTCAAAAGTAGCAAATACTTTATCGAATTTGAGCACTGAGGCCGCCCTTGGTGATGCTAATATTATGGTTGTCGACCCTTTAGAGAGGTCGGTTCTTCCAGTTCTATGAGAGAAGAGGGTATACAGTTCTTTTGATGACCGACTGGCCCCGTTCCATGAATGTTTGCTTACAAGAGTAAGGCTTTGACTGTCTTTTTATGAATTTGAGGTAGTCGTCCTGAAACATTTAAAAGTTTCTCCTTCTGAAATTCATCTAGGATTATGGGCATATGTAAGGGTCTTCCAATTGTGTTATGAACACATGTCTTAGAAGCCATATCTTAATTTATTCTTCAATATTTTCCATCTAAGGCATACCTACCAGATAAATTTCACAATCAAGGGCTCATTTACTTCTATCCGGTCCACTAGTAGTTCGACCCATTTCCCGACTTCCACGTACTCTTGATGAGGCTGATATTGTTGTCTCTACAACGAATTTATCCTTCTTCTAGAATCATCATGAAGGGGATAAAATGTTAATGGCTTCTGAGCTTTCTCAGAACATGTTCAAAGTTGCTTCTATTTTTTATCTCGTCTTTACTGGACGGGGTGATGTATTAGCCCCGGGTAGTCCCTTCAAGGAAAGGTATGCCTAGAAAGGGAAGGTGGAATTTATGAAGATGAAGTGTAGTAATCTTCAAAAGGGGCTAGTTTCTTTGCAGGAAGAAGTTAAAGTTACTGAGTCTTTGCAAGAGGCAGTGAAAGTACATGGATCCCTCGTGTGAATGAGTTGGGGGGGTTCTCTCCGAGATGCAGAGAAGTGATACAAGGCTATTTCTGATTCCATTTAAGAAAAGGCTTGCCATATGGAAAAGTACCATAAAGATGCAGAGGCATTGAAAACTCTCCAAAATGAGGTGGCCAGACTGAGGTAGGTGCTTCATGATGCTCTTTAGTAGACTATGTAGGATGTACTCAGAGTTTGATAACGAGTTGTGGAGAATGCGAGGAAGTTCTGACCTAATGCTGTGATTTATGACGAGGCATTAGACGCATTTAAGTCCGCTTATGGGGTGAATCAGTGAGGTGACCCCAGTGCCTTGGATTCAAATGTTCCTCCTTGATTTTATTTTTTTCTTGTATTGTATATTTCCTGCTATATTTCTCAGGCTTTTGTGTCTTGGGTGTAATAATTATTTATTTTACCTTGATGTTTCAAGTATTGCTAACTTTAGAGCCTTATGTTAGCTTTTTCTTTGTCAATATCGTTGTTTGTGAATAATTGTAACTCAGATGCTAGTTTTTCTATCCTGCATAGTCTTTATTCACTTGAGAGTTTAGGTCGGACCACCGGTGTTCATTAGCGATGGTGAAATATTTGTTGTGGGCGTGAGACTCTTTATTACTTTGCTTTGGGAAAAAAATAATGCACTTGACTATAATAAGATGGCGAAAGTGCCTATGAAACTTCTTGCTTCTTTGCGACTCTGCGCATTAAATGATGTCGGCTACCATTCTTGATTGTTGTATTTGCTCGTTGTTTTTAGCATTTTTCGTAGTAGTGTATTGATTTGTGTGTGTGTGTGTGTGTGTATATATATATATATATATATATATATATATATATATATATATATATATATATATATATATATATATATATATATATATATATATATATATATATTTGGTGATTTGTTTACGTTTCCCGAGCGATGTGTGAGACTGCGCGAGGTCAACGTCATGTGGTAGTAATTTGAAGTAAGCTCCGCATCATAGATGACCGTTCTATGGCCAAGGGTAGGAGCGGATCGAGGTAGACGTCTCCAGACTCCACCGCTTACGTCTTTGATTGACTAGATCTCGAAGGGGGTGCCAGCTACGTAGAAGTGTGTTTAATAAACCTTGGAAGCAAGGTGTGCGTTTGAGCCATATTAGAAATGTAGAAGTGCGTTATATTTGTATCATATACACAATAGGGCATAACATATGATAAAGCTGTATCGAATAGTGGAAATGTATTAAGTCTGTATCGCATACACAATTAGGTGTAGATTGTGCATTATGCTGTATCCGAATCGAAGAAATGCATTAAATCTGTATCAGGTACACAACCGGGCATAAAGTGTGCCATATTAAAATTGCAGAATTGCGTTAAGTCTGCATCGGATACACAACCAAGAATTTTTCTTTGTTCCCTTGTCTCATACTTATTTGGTATGAAATTTGTGAAAGTCAAGGAACACATGATTATGCATCAACAAAAGCATGTGAAAGAGTTGTTAAATAGATTTAAAATGACTGATTGCAACACATAAACAAATCCATATGAAACAAATACAAAGTTGGATAAATGTATTGATAAAGAGAAGGTAGAAGCAACTATATAAAAGTAGATTGGGAGGTTATTGAGGTACTTATGTAATAACATACCTGAAATCAACTATACAATAAGTATAATTAGTATGTTCATGAGTGAGTCTAAAAAATCACACCTAATTAATGCAAAGAGAATGCCCAAGTACCTAAAAGAACCATGAAACTTGACCTACTATTTCTAGTCTATGTGAAGAAGATGGCATAATTGATAAATTATTCATATTGTGATTGGTATGTTGACAGAACTAATATAATAAGCACTTAAGGCTATGTTTTAATGTACATTGAGGTTACCATTTTCTGATGTACGAAGAAACAATCTGTCATAGTTCTTCTACCATCTTGTGAGCCAGGGTACATAGATGGTTCATTTTATTCATGTGAAGCAATTTGATTGGATTCATTGCTAAATAAGTTGTAGTGAGAAGTGTTAAAACCATCGAAATTTATGATTGACAACAAATCAACTATAAATTTTACCAAGAATTCAATTTCATGTTGGAAGAATAAGCCTATTGAGACTTTACTTATAAAAAAGAAAGCATATTGAGACTAGATTTTACTTTATAAAAGAGAAAGTGATGAATGCAATGCTTGAAATTTCTTAATATCCAAAGTTGTAACTAGCTGAGAGATTTACAAAGGCCTTAGAATTGATAGATTTGTGTATTTAAGAAAACATTAGAATTGATGTATGTTTTGTCTAATGAGAGAATGTTGTTTGATCATTCTTAAACATAACATTGTCATTTATACTATATACTTGCACAAATATATAGTTCAGTTATCTAGTTTGTAACTAAGTTTGTTAAGAATTTAAACTAACTAACAATTGATTGGTTAATTAGATAGGTTGGTGGCTTAACCAGTAAATGATGTAAATTCTATTTGAGAATTAATGAAATATGACACCAATGTTAAATCTTTCATTGATTATTTTGCTGCATAACTGTTATATAAATATAATCAACATAGTTGCTGCATAATTTTCTCTTATTTAATCTCTTGTTAAATAAGAGATTAAAATGGTGAGTGATTATATAAAATTGAAGGGTGAGTTAAGATCAAACCATGTGCATTATAGTCAACCATCAAAGCATTATTAAAATCAACTATGACTGCGTATAAAATTTGACCAAATTTCTTTCTTATTATAAAGGCTGAAGAATAAGACCACGAGACCTAACTTTTTTAGTATTCCATTTTATATTTAAATATGTGTAGTCTAATGTTAATATATCATCTTATAGTTGTGGTCTCTAAAAATATATTTTTATTTTTTGTTAATACATCTCTTGTTATTTTTAGTCTAATATTTTCCTAGCAACTAGGAAATATATTCAATTTAATTAATTAGGTAGATAATATTTAAAAATCGAGACTAATAATTATTTATATGTAACATTTATATACTTTATTCTACGTCATTAGATAAGAGATATATTTCACCACATCGAAACTCTATTCCACCATTTTATTGAACATTTTTTACTTTCTGATAGAATAGTGACACGGTTTACGAGAATTCTGTGAAAATTCTCACACTCAAAGCAGACAATATCTTATAATCGCACTACTGCAGATTTAAAGTCGACTAAACAAATATTTACATGGAGAAACTAAAATAAAATATTTGATATATTAAATAATTAATTTTAGTATAGATTTTTTGTTAATATTTAAACAAAATATTATGAATCAAAAAGCAAAACAATATTATATTTGTAAGAAAACAAAAACACACTAGAATCAAAGCTAAAACTATTAACATTTGTCTAGACCAAATACATATATAATAAGGATTTTATTAGAACAAAACACATCATTTTCTATGCAAGTTCTACGGTGTGAAAATGATGAGGGTTCACACATAGGATGCATTAGCACACTCTATATGGCCTACTAGTGTCCATACTCACTAACCACTTCTACTTTTCATTCAAATTTACAAACCAAAGTCTTACACACATGATTTATATTTATAAATAGCTTTTGTAGCTTCCTCATTAATCACTATCATTTCATCTATTACAAAATTTTCAAGCCTCTCTATGATGAGAATGGTTCTATCAAGGAGGCTACAAGGTTACTCCAAGATGGACAAGGAAGACTCAGAAGAGAGAAAGCATAGACAAGCACAATTCTTGATATACAAAGCATTGGAAAAAGTTGATTCTCAAAGAAAGCCATCATTCTTGAGGATCAAAATATTTAAGCTGAAGATTAAATTAGGGAACAGTTGTAGGAAGATCAAGAAGAGGTTTTTGCTCAAGTGTAATAGGAGTTGGAGTTTGTTTTATTGATAAACAAGTTTTTGAACTATGAAATTTGAAAGTCTTTCTTCTTCCCTTTTGTTCTTGTTGTAATTTTTGGTTTCTTCCTTAACTTTCTTAGTTTACACATTTTGTTTACAAACTTTAATTTTCGCACTCATGCTGATAGAGGGCTGGATAATCACAAGAAAATTATTCAAAAGTTTTTTCAATCGAAAAAAATGTTTTTAAATAATTTAATTTCTTATAATGATTTCATATGATTTGTTACAATTTAATTTATGTGTGTATGTTTTCTGCTAATTAGTTATAATCAATTTGCGGGTTAGTTAAAATTAGGTTAGGTTAGTTAGAGGCCATCTTACAATATTCGAGGGTGTTGATTAAATTTTCTTTATTTTTTTTGTTTGTTTTTTATTATGGTAATTATTAATCCGCTACTAAATATCAACATGATATTAAGAGTTTGAGATTGTTCTGATTTGTCATCATCTATATCTACTATGTGTCTTTAATTCATTTCTTAAGAATATTCTTATCTTATCTCTTCTCTCTTATTAGCTATGCATCAAATATTCATCTTTACTCAAAATCTTGTGATTTTCTTTCTTTCGCTATGTACATTTATGGCTACGTTGACTCTTACTTTCCTATTGCACGAGAGAATACATAGGTATAAGACGACGATGTCCTATCGAGTCTCCTTTTTTTTCTTTTCTTTTTCCGTTTCCGCTTCCGTTTAGCAGTAGATTTTAGATAACTCACCATTTGATTAAACAACAAGCTTGGATCCTATTGAGTACAACGGACGTGAAAGGGTGCTATACCTTGCCCTTGCGTAACCGATTCCCGAATCCAATATTTGGTTGCGATGACCTTGTCTTCTCCTTTCTCTTAGGTTTTCTTCGATCGTTTCCTTTCCCTCCTTTGGAATAAATAACGTCCGATGACGACTTTTCTGTTTATTTTCGCCGGTCTTTTTCGTAGTTGCGACAACTGGCGGCTCTGTTGGGGAAACTGGTTCCCTATGCGAGTCAATCCTAGCACTTGTCTGTTTTATATCTTTGGGTGTTTATATTTGTGCATATGTATGTTGTATGTGTACTATTGTATATTATTGCATTTGCGCTTTACTTTTTGCACTTTATCATTGTTATCATATTATGTTGCTGTGCTGTTGGATGGGTTGTTCCATGAGAGGTAAACCCAATACCCAAGCTTGAGTATACACATAGGATTAGTGTGGAGAGTAGTGTGGACTTGTGTGGCATCTTGACACGCAAGAGTTCACACGAAATTCGCGTCCATACGAGGTTTTCTTTGAAGACATCCTATCTTGTGCATCTTGGGCAGTTGAAGGATGTTGAATTAGAAAGCTAACGACTCTGGAGACTGTTCATTGGGAAGTCAGTTGAGACCTCCTTGATTGACAATGATGCCAAACCAGAAATAGTGAACGTATCATCGTTTCTCAACCTAAGAGTCTGTGATACTGATGACCTGCATAGGATGTCGTACCTTTCAAGACTAGAACTTACATGTGAGAGGGATGGGTTCTACAGGAAACTTTGACCTTCAACCAACCCGGTTTTCTGGTTTTCTTGTCAGACCAGACTTTTGACCTTGGATATTGTGGTTTTCTGTCACATCAGAATTTTGAATTTCTGGGTTTTCTTATTAGAGCGGAGCTTTGGTTATATTCAGTCAACAACACAACATCATTGGATGCCTTGATCCCCTGTCTGCATTTGCATAATCATCTTGCATATTAACATTGCATGTGTGTGTGTTCTCAGGTTCTCATCTTTCCTTTGATTCTAGTAATCTGGTCTGCTATTGAGATGAAGGCTGAGAGGAAGAAGATCATTATATACAAGTTTCCATTACCAGAGTTGGGACCTTTATTTGGTCTGATTGCTATGGCTGACCTAGGCGTTCTTGAGGACTTGAAAAAGGATTATGGGAGAATTTTGAGTTTTGTCCGCAAGGTCACGAACTACGAGCAAGGAGCCATTAATGCCTTGCTACAATTTTATGATCTTCCATTACGCTGTTTCACTTTTCCAGACTATGTATTGGTTCCTACTTTGGAGGAGTTTGCTTTTATTTTGGGAGTTCCATTCCTAGATGAAGTGCCATTCTTTCATTCAGAAGAAGAGCCTGATCTTGAGAAGTTTGCCAATGCTCTTTATTTGAGCAAGTCGAAGTTGATTGATGACGTAGTTGCAGAAACAGAGTTTCTGGCTTTACCTATATTTCTTAGTGGGTAAAGCCCAGAAATATGCCAAAGAGGGGTGTTGGGTGGTTTTTAGCGCTATTTTGGCTTTGTGTATCTATGTCATTGTACTATTTCCCAATATACCAGACTTCATTGATATGGACGCCTTTCGTATCTTCATTTCCAAGAATCCTGTACCCTATCTCCTAGGAGACCTATACCATTCAATGCACTATAAGAATGAAAAGAGGAGAGGAAAGACTGTTTCTTGTTGTACACCGCTTTTTCATAAGTGGTTTATAGATCACCTCCCTCATTCCGGAGCTTTTGTTGATGCGAGGATTACATCTGAATGGTCTAAGAGACTCATGGGTTTGACAGACAAAGATATTTTCTAGTTTAACCGAGGTCTGCTTGGTAAAGAACTTATCTTTATTTGTGGTAGCTTTCCAAATGTACCTTTGATGGGGAGAAAATGGGGAGTCAATTATAACCCTTCTCTCGTTGTTAGACAATTTATGTATGCTTTGAGAGGACCCCCGAAGGATGAAGAAGTGCAGGAATCTCTATACTTTACTGACGTAGCTGATCCAGACATTTTGGAAAGAGTTATGGAAGCATGGGGAAAGTTCATAAAAAGGGGAAGCTTTCCTTGGGTAAGGGTGACTGCAGAACTTATGGTCCTTACATAGAATGAATTCACAAGAGGGTTGAGAAAATACTGCTGCCTTTCCCTGTGGAGGAACCCTTGTATCCTTTGATAGTTGAGGAGTCTAAGACAGTTGATATCCTGAGATACAATAAGCTTTAGGCAGAGAAGGAAGAGATGTGTAAGGAAAGCGAAGAATTGAAAAAGGAGATCAGCCAGTTGAAGCATGACAAGAATGAAGTTGTCTACTTGACTAAAGTAAAGATGGAAGCCTTGACCAAGATGGAAAAGGATTTGTCTGAGGAGATCCGGATACAAGGGAGAGTTGGTTAGGATCTGAAGAGTACTGGTAGCATTCTGAAGCATAAAAAGAAGGATTTAGACAGAGCCTATCTGGAGATATCCAAATTCAATGATAAGTGGAACACTACAGTAACTGCCAACAAAAACAGGGAAGATGAGCTTCATAACCAGATTGACAAGTTGAAGACGCAACTCAGAGTCAAAGAAAGAGAAGTTTTAGCAAAGTCATCCCGTAGATGTACAAGTGAACAGAAAATGCGAGAAACCTTATCAGCTTTTGAAGAGCTCAAGGTTAGGGAAGAACTGAAGAAACTTAAGCTTGAAGACATCTTTGGTGATAATGCTTGGGAGGAATATAGTCAGGATTTGAAAGATGTCATTCGTATAACAGACTTCCTCATCCAAGAGCTGATTGCAAGACTGGAGCATCCAGACACAAAGAAGCTGCTCAAGGAAGCTCAGACTTGGCCCAGAGACCACAGTGGTTGAGGAAGGCTATTTTCAGCGATGATGTATCTCATTAGTTTCTTTTCCTTTCTTGTATTTAACCATCACCATAATTTTTGGATGAGGTCACAGACACTTGTATTCACTTGTATTTCCCATATGTGGATTGTGTATGCTAACTTCTTATTCGCATTATATTTATGAGCAAGGCTTTTGATTCTTCCATCTATCTCTACCGTTCTCTTATTTGTAAGACTAGAATTAAGGGGGATATCTCCCTCAAACATATAGACATGTTTGCATTTTGCATTATCATTTTCATTTGCGTAATAGGTGTTCTCGGTGACTTTACTCTTATGTCTGCTTGGTTTTCTGTATCAGCTGACAGGATTGCAGAATCAGGTTTTCATAGATACTCTACTGGGGAAATCAGCAAAGAATTATGGATCAGGTTCAGAATGAGCTTCAGGGAGTTAGAGAGCGCATGACCCAATTCATGGAGTTGATGCAGAACGTGGCCAACATACAAGAACAGTTAAGGACTCTGGTCCAACCACTGATAGCACGGGTTGATGAAGACGATATTTTACACGGAGGAACTATTGATATTCCTCCACTTGTTGGTGGTAATATTCCACAAGGCAATGGTATTCCTATAGTTGTTAACCCTCCGGGCAGAGGTCCTCATGGTGGAGTTCAGATAGGTGGTGCTAGAGGTAGTGTGTGTGCAGTACATGAGGCTGCTGGTCCCCAATGTGAGGAGGATAATCAAGATGACGTCTTTTTAATGAGAGATATGGACGTTGGTCTCTCGTCAGAGACTGACAAAAGATTCAAGTTAATTGAGGAAAAGATGAAAGCCTATGAGAGCCAAAATTCTTTGGGTCTTGATATGTCAGATCTGGGTCTAGTTCCAGGGGTCAAAATTCCCCCAAAGTTCAAGGTACCAGATTTTGACAAGTACAAAGGGACAACCTGTCCTAGAGTACATATCCGGGTGTATTTCAGAAAGATATCCGCGTACTCCGATGATGAGAAGTTGTTAATGCATTTTTTCCAAGATAGTTTGTTAGGACCGTCATTGGAATGGTATATGGGGTTAGAGAGAACTCACATTAGAAGCTTGAGGGAATTGGCGGAGGCTTTCGTTTACCATTATCAGTATAACAATGATTTGGCACCGAACACGGTGCAACTACAAAATTTTTCACAGAGAAATAATGAAGGTTTTAAGGAGTACGCCCAGAGGTGGCGCGAGTTGGCAGCTAAAGTACAACCTCTGATGATGGAGCAAGAGTTGATCAATAAGTTCATGGCTACATTGCCCAAAACATATTATGAGAAGCTAGTGGGTTGTATGTCAGGAATTTTTCCGGACCTAGTTATGGCAGGTGAAATAGTGGAAAATGATAT